CTTACACATGGGCTCTTAACTCAAAAAAAAAAAAAAAAAAAAAAAAAAGAACCTGCAGTCTCATGTAAGAGAAGCGGTTGGTGGCGAAGGGAGACCATTGCGCCATCAAATGTTGGTTTTTGCCGAGCAGCAGCAGGTCAATGTCCCATTGGATATGGCATCCTGTAAGAGATTGGAATGCTGCATCCCACCACCTCCACAATTGGGAGACCATTGGGAAGGCCAACAAATAGCATTCCAGTGTTGCCCGAGCCGAAGGCGCTGACCTACCACAGTAGGTGCAGATAGGGGACAACAACCCCTTATGTTCAAGGTCTGTTCTTGGCACTAGCCAGTCCGGTGTGGGCGAGCAGCGATGGAGGAGTTGCCATTGCAGTGCTCTGAGATTCGTAGGCATGATCTTGGAGTACTTGGCCCAAGGCAAGTCCTCCATCAACTGCGGGTCCATAGGTGAGTCTCACGCCCATCTGTTAGATACCGTTTGGTCGATTGGCACCCGTGAGCTGGAGGCTCTGTAGCCCCCTTGACAGTGTAGTCCCATATGTGCATTGGTTTCGGTCTGGGCCACTCCTTTTTTTTTGTTTAGCTCCCTTGACAGTGTAGTCCCACATGTGCTTTGGTTTCGGTCTGGGCCACTCCCGGGACAATTGCTCCAGTCTATTCGTGGGGAGCAGCACGTGCTGGGAACCGGGCCCAGCGTCCCATCAGAATCTCACAACATATGAGTTACCGGGGCCATTACCCGGCTTCGGTTAAGAATTCGCGTACTAGAAATTCTGAGAAAAATTCAAGCAAAAATCATGACTCAGAGGGGCTATAGAAAATGTCTGGGCCACTCCTATTCCCCCGGGTCAAAAGGCAACCTGGCAATAGTGGCAATTGGTATTGTGGGTTCGTACACTAGGAAGCCCTCCCAGTGGTCCCCAACTACACATATGTGCATGAGGCCCACCCAACTTCCGTCGCCCTGGCTCCCAGCAGGTCAGGCTCATAGGCTTCTAATGAGCACCACTCATCTTTATTACGTTGGACCCTATATATTGTGAGAGGGAGGGGGAGATCTGCATGCCTAATCATGCAGTCATCGTGGCGAATTGAGGGACCGTTCTTGAGGTCTAGCCGCCACGTTCGGGGGAAGAGCTTTCCTCAGCTTGACAACTTTCTCCTCCACATTTTTGGCATATTTCAGCTTGAGCCGTAGCTGGTCTTCCATGGCCCAGTCTCCATTGCGCGGGTCCCACAGGCCCCCAACCGTAACAATGCCTTTTTTTGCCCAAGTGAGCCAGGGCGAGTTTGTTGATAACGAGAAGGGGTTGTCGTCCTCATCCAGTACATAGGGGATGCCAAAGAGTGGTTATCTCCATATGTTGTGCCATTAATGACGAGGGTCTGCCCAAAAATCGATGTATGCTTGTTATCCCATCCAGTCAGCTTGGCTTGCGCGAGGGTCATTATCCAGTCGTCATTGGTGTCTGGCTTCCCTCCTGCCGCCACTGATGCTCCCAAAATCCGTAAGGGGGCCTCCGCCAAGAGATGTGCGGGCTCTCTGGAGGCCTTCCACTTTCGTGATGTAGCCACCACCCCATCGTCTTCTGCCCCCAGTTCACGGCCATGTCGGACAATTTACAAAAACGGTTCATGAGCGTCTGAACTTCCTCCATGTTGCATGTACAGACGTCCATCATAATGGTCAGGTCGTTGGCGAACAGGGAGCAGACTGGAACAGCCTCCTTCATAATCCTTGCAATCCTAATTCGTCTGACGTCCTTGTTGTGCCTCAAGTTGGGTGGCAAGGCCTCCATTATAACGAGGAAGAAGAAAGGGGCTATCGGGTCCCCTTGCCTGACCAACCGTTGGAGGGTGAACTGAGGGTCGACCGAGCCGTTTACCTGGACACTGGTGGTGGCATTACCGTGCAAAACCTTGACCCAACGTCGGAACACCGGCCCAAAGTTCATTTTCCTCAGGCATTTGTCCAGGAAGAACCAGCCAACATGATCGTATGTTTTTTGACAACTATACATTCTGACAATTTTTCACAATTTTTGACAATGCATTGTGACAAATTTTCACAATTTTTGACAATGTTTGAATGTTTAACAGCCATGCGGTTTTTACAATGCCGATTTTTTGCTGCTGCAGCTTTTGACAGTTTTGTGCATGTGCTGCTATGTGGAAAGCGGTTAAGAAGGAAAGAAAGAAAAATAAAATTAGGTGCAACGAGCCCGACAACCGTGAGGAGCTCTCACAATTCCATCATGCAAGTAGTCACCATGCACTCAAAATGGAACCAGTCGCAATGCAGAATGAGTCAAGGTGGTCCCAGAATTAGCAGCAAGGCACCCTAAGTGGGACAAAGGTAGAGAATCAATGATGAGAGAGGGAGGATAATGTCGTTAAGAATCAATCGCACAATTGAAACGACTCCTCCTGCCCCCTTTCACCTCAGGGACCTTCTCCCACCAACCCGCCACCTCAGCATGAAAGCCTTCCCCCGAAGACATTGACGATGTCCCTCTGCAGCTACCAGATATGGGCACACAGCCTCTAGCATCAATGCTGCCTATGGAGGTTGGTGCATGCCTTCATTCAGCCTCCTGGTGTGAACAGCAGCTTCAGGATAACAAGTGCCAACAGGTGAGTCGAGATAATCTTCCCACTCTCTCACTCTTTCACTCTCTCTACTCACAATCCCAATCACCCTCTTCCTCACCCTACCTCTTAGTTAAGGCTGCGCCCTTCCTAGCTATGGCTACACTCTCTCTCTCTCTCTCTCTCTCTCTCTCTCTCTCTCTCTCTCTCTCTCTCTCTCTCTCTCTCTGCCTTCCTCCACCAGCGTTGTCTTCCTCCCTTTGGGAGCACCCGAACCACAAAGGTGTACGAAGCAGAACGAACGGGCCACTGAGGCAAGCAACTCCTTTGTAGAGTTGAGCGGTTCTGGCCTGCCCCCAGTATGCCGCTTCTGACGGTAGAGATTGCTCCTTCCGGGTGGCCTAGATTTGTTGTCAGCATGATCACTTTCCAGGTGGCCCTGATTGCATCTGGATTCGAACTTGGGTCTGCATTTCAACAGTTCATGGGTGTACCAACTGAGATAGGCCCGTTGGTGCATGATCACTTTAGATTTGTTCTCATCATGATCACTTTCGGGGTGGCCCTGATTGCATCTGGGTTCGAACTTGCGTCTGCATTCAACAGCTCATGGGTGTACCAAGTACTACCAACTGAGATTGGCCCGTTGGTGCATGATTTCTCACTGGTCGTTCCCTGCTACCCTTAGGCCATACTCACACTAGGCACTAGGACTTCCCTGGATGTATCTGGCCGCGTTCACGGACAGGCCAAAATGTGTCTGAAAAGTCCTGGTGTGAGTAATGTCCTACATCCCACGAAAGCACTTTCGTGCAAATAAGATTTTTTCAGTTTTCATTGTTTTTTCCTTCTGGTTTCCGCAAATCCATCAAAAGACTTCCGTCCTTCGTCACCCATCGGCTGCCTGGGTGGCTTGCTCACCATTTTGGTTGCTTGCTTGTCGCTACCTTGCTTGCCTGAACACTTACAACTTGCTGGAAAACTGCCCTACCGTCTTCACCCGAGTAGAACGCCTGGTCATTATCACCGCATGTGGACGGAAAGTTGAGCCAAATGCAGCTATAATGACCAGGCGTTCTATTCGGGTGAAGACGGTAGTAGCTTGCTCTCTTCATTTGCTGTGCACCTCGCTGGCTGGAGGTGTGGCTAGCTGGCTTGTGATTGCCTACTTCTACTCAGGAGCAGGCTGGTGAGCTTGCTGGCTGACTGGCGAAGCAGGCGGCTCGCTCGCTGCCTCACTGGTTTAGCTGATTGACTGACAGACTGGCAACCTTCCCTAGTCCTTTGCTTCCTTGCTCTCACTGCTCTGTGGGCACAAGGTTGCTGAGATGAGATGTTCAGCTGGCCTGCCGGCACGTGATTGGCTGGCTTTTCTTTCTGGCTAGCTGGATGGCTCACGAGGCCGGTTCCCCGCCTGCTCACTGCCTCCAATGCATTGACGGCTGGCTTGCCAGCTTTGGTTACTTCCTGGCTGCTGTGATTGGCGGTCGACCGATTGACTGATTGGTTGATTGAGTCGGTAACAGAGTGAGATGATTGGCCGCATGAATCATCGCTTAGCTCCATCTGTCCTGCTTTCTTCCTTCCGCTTCCTTCCGTCACTAAACTCAACTACCTTCCGTCCATCCATCCCTCTGTCCCTCCTTCGACTCCTTCATTCATTCCTTCATTCATTCCTTCATTCATTCTTTTATTCATTCTTTTACTCGCATGCTCATCTCACCGGTTTTCTCATTCGCTCATTGGCCACGAGTCGTCCACTCACTTGCTCAGATTCAATTTGTTCACCACTTGTGCAAATTCCGTCCATCCATTTGTTCCCTTCATTCATCCAGTGACTCATTTTGATCATGGCCCATCTTCCATTTCTCCACATGTTGCTAACTCCTCTCTTTTGAACAAGACCAACCTTGACGGAATCTTTCATTTGATTGAGGCCAGCAGTACTTCTTGCAAAGACGAGACAAGGGGACAAGGAGACGCTGCCGAACTGGCAGAGGCAAGGTTGATTGGATTAGCGCATTCGTGGCTTTTCTTAAATCCTACAATCTTCTCTTAGCCGAAGCCGAGTAACATCCCCGGTAATTCACATGTTTTGTAAAAGTCTATATGGGATGCTGGGCCCAGTTCACAGCACGTGCCGCTCCCCACGAATAGATTGGAGCAACTGTACCCCTGTCTCTTATACACATCTAGATGTGTATAAG